AAACTTTACAGCAATAAAAGGCTTAAAGAAGAGTCACTGTTCACATTTGTACTATAATGAAACCTGCAGCCGCTGGGACGACAAAAGTGATGTTAGGTTCATATAAACTGTCACAGACTGAACTGCCAAATTTAAGGGCCCAAATTTTCTGTAGACAAGAAATGAAGCTGTAATCTGTCATCTCGGACTGAAGGCAGCCGACTTCAGCCTCAGACAAACACTCAGCTCTGCATGGAGAATTTAAAGCAGATGGCAGATAGGAAAAATGTGCACCAGAGACATGCCTAGAAACTGCGTTTGGCAAGATTCCCGAGAACTCATCCCTGGAACACACCGAGGACTTCCTTCAGCCCAAACGTCCACAGAGTCTCCAGGGTCGCTGTGCTTCACCTCGTGTTGTACGGATGCTCGGAGCAGAGGAAAGCAGTCAGTTTCACAGACTGCAGATAATCGCAGCCGCTCCCCCGAGCCCGAAGTCATCTCCACCAATCAGAGGTAACAAAACACCAACCTGCAATCTGCACAGCCAATCAAAACACTATTAACCTCTTAAATAGTCCCACCCGTGAGTCTACCTGCAAGCTTTGTTTGCATTGGGATAAAACGCCTGATTATTTGTCCAGATGAGTTTTCCACAGATATGCCCTCTCTACACTGAGGATCTGCTTTTCCCAACTACCTGCTCCGACTACCGAGTTCGGAAGTGCAGCAGTCAATCAGCAGGCAGCACCGGGGCAGAAAGACCCCCGCTATCCTGGAGATTTCAACACAGAACCATGTTTAAAGTGGTTAACCTGGACAGTCCTGCCGTGCTGTGACGGGGCGGAGATGAAGGCTGGAACATAAACCCAGTAACCTGCTCTGTTTCCCAGACGTACTTTCGCTTTCATGCGTGTTGAGTCTGATCATTCCTGGAACATTTCTCTGCTCTGTTAAAAGTTGGCTTTAATCAGGAGACCCCCTGCCAGCCTCCGAAGCCCGCTGGCTCTACAGCTCATCAATTTACAGCATTACAAACTGTGCTTGCATCCAAGTGGAGTTTAGCGGCATAAATTAGCTCAGCATCTGTCTCTGCTCTCCCCGTGGAGCTACCTACTGAGATTACATCCACATCTGTTCAAATCATTCTGCTGGCAGCCAGTTTACACGCACAGTGTTGTGATATTACAAAGACAAACATCTCCTTCGGTTTTGCTGCTGATGGTTTCCGATGGCAGAGAAGCTGCGTTCCTGGAGCCGATTGTTTGGTGCGTTTTCATTTTTGTGCAGGATCCCCGGGCGAACAAAGCCTCTCGTCTCGTGTTCCCAGCAGAGTTCAGAAACCTGCAATCCAGCACATTTCCCTGCAAATCTGACCCGGCGGATCACTGTGGAAAAATGCAGAGCAGGGGCCGACAGAGACCGAAAGTCTGCTCCTCTGGTGATCGCATTACTGCGAGTTTGCTGAACGCTCGCAGCTAAAATATTACACAGGGCTGATTCTGGCGAGTAAGACAAACGTTTTGACCCAAAACCAAAAGATTTAAAGCAGCAGAAAGTTTAGATCTTTAAACCACGACCCCTGAGCTGATGGTTGCAGCACACACAGCTGACTTGGAGACTCCTGTGGGACGCAGCGAGGTGACCACATGAGTGGAAAATGGTTTCGAGCACATCTGAGGAGCTGAGGCTTGCAGGGATGAAACAGCTGAAGAACTGATGTCCTGGTGCCTTCACGGACCTTCAGCAGCAACCACAGCATGCTGT